GGCCTCCAACCTACTAGCGATGACCCCCAATCTACTAGCGATGGCCTCCAACCTACTAGCGATGACCCCCAACCTACTAGCGATGGCCTCCAACCTACTAGCGATGACCTCCAACCTACTAGCAAAGGCCTCCAACCTACTAGCGATGACCCCCAATCTACTAGCGATGGCCTCCAACCTACTAGCGATGAACCCCAATCTACTAGCGATGGCCTCCAACCTGCTAGTGATGACCTTCAACCTGCTAGCAGAGGCCTCGAACCTACTAGCGACGACCTCCAACCTACTAGCAAAGGCCTCCAACGTACTAGCGATGACCCCCAATCTATTAGCGATGGCCTCCAACCTACTAGCGATGACCTCCAACCTGCTAGCAAAGGCCTCCAACCTACTAGCGACGACCTTCAACCTACTAGCGATGACCCCCAACCTACTAGCGATGACACCCAACCTACTAGCAACGACCTCCAACCTACTAGCAAAGGCTTCCTAGCGATGACCCTCAATCTACTAGCGATAGCCTCGAACCTACTAGCGATGACACCCAACCTACTAGCAACGACCTCCAACCTACTAGCAAAGGCTTCCTAGCGATGACCCCCAATCTACTAGCGATGGCCTCGAACCTACTAGCGATGACCCCCAATCTACTAGCGATGACCCCCAACCTACTAGCGATGACCCCCAACCTACCAGCGATGACCTCCAATCTTCTAGCGATGGCCTCCAATCTTCTAGCGATGGCCTACTAGCGATGACATCCAATCTACTAGCGATGGTCTCCAACCTAATTATGAACTGAAGATGGTCAGGTATATTCAGAGGACACGTTGCTTCGAGCGCAGGGCAAGATCCCTGAGCTCGCCAAATGCGCGATTTTCTTCAAGACGGAGAAGTTTGAACACATTTGGCAAGAGCATCGTTCCCGAGTTGTGCTGTGCGCTTTGAAGTGCTATGATCAGGCTGGTCCTTCCAAGTCACAGGTTGCCTGAGTAGCCTTGTCAGATGCAGGTGATCTACTTTGCGAGCTGCCATTTGGAAGGTGCACCCAGTGAAGGCAAGACACGGCTGACTCAGCTGAGGAGCTGTGTTGCCGGCTTTGAATCTGAACACTACATTTCCTTTGTAAATCTATTACCTTTCAGATCCTTTCACAAGCCACTTTTGGTTTATGGAAGTCTTCAAGATGTCATCTTGTGGTGTGAACTTCTTGAGCTTGTCGCGTTTGATGGAGCTTGTTCTACAGCCCTGCTTCCTGTTTTGCGTTTTGCTGGATGCTGCAGGAATGCTTTACAGTCAATTCAGAAGGATCAAAAGCAGCGGGGCCTTGACCCCACTACTTGTGTAACTTTGGCATGACAGGCTGAGGGTTGACCCTTTGAATTGAACGCATGGTACTGGAAGCTTGGTTTGTCTTGCCTTTGTGCAAACAATGAAATAGACATGAAACTTCAGCTCGGCCCAGTGCCAATGCGCTCTTGTGATTCTCAAAGCTGTGTGTCTCCTTCATTGGGATTTGCCTCTAGTTGCGGAACATGTTTGAACATGCTGGAACTTCCCAGGCTGTGATTTTCGCTGGAGATTTCAATGAGGATGACAGCGGTCCTGTCGTAAGGTCATTGGCTTCAAAGAGAGACAAGGATGACAAGGACAGACGGAACGCATGAGACGCCGACCGGCGGGTCGAAGCTTTAATTTTGCTTTTCCAATTGTCTAGAGGCATCTCTCTCTATATATATACATATGTGTATAGAGTACTTAGAGGCGTCTAGACCTTCATGTCCGCATATCGAACGTGCTTTTTGACGTTTCTGGATATTTTGATTTTTAGATTTTGCTTTGCGATGTCAGGACTTTGAGGAACTGGTGGATCATGGCTTCGGCCTAGCTGATTTATATTCAGAGCGCTTTGAAGCACGACCACCCACCTTTGGAGCGCCGCCCACCCGCGGGACTGAGACCAAGCTCCGTGCAATTGACTTCATGCCTCCTGAATTCAGTATGCTAGCTAAAGATGCCAAAGCGTCAGCAGATCAATCATCTACAGCTGAAAATATTTATGCTTTGATATTTGAAGAACACTTTCAGGTCACTTTGATTTTTCCCCAAACAGTGTGGTCACCTAGGGGTTCTTACAGTAAGATTTAAGGCCGGGTGTCGGATCGAGGTGCTCCATCGGCGTGTCCGGCTAATTCGCTGTTATTAGTAGCAAGGACGCTTTTGGGTTGATGCCATCGCAAGTAATTAGGTTGGAGGCCATCGCTACTAGGAGCAAGAAGCTACTAACAGTACATCAGTACATTTGTTCACCTCAAAATCGTCGAAGTACATTTCGACGGCACCTTGCAGTCTGGTGGGCCCGAAGGGGGTGCATTCCTCGACTGCGCTCTCGTTGTGGCACCGTGCGCATTTTCGGGCTTGGTCACATGTCACTTTTCGTTTGGCGCCAGGGAGGTCGGATCAGTTTTACTTCGATGCGACTTCGTGGCAGGTGCAGCCCTTTGGATATGGCGGTCTTCGGCGCGGATTTCGTGGCATGTGTGAACCGTGACGTTTGGACATGTGCCTTGTTACTACTAGTAGCTACTTGCTCCTAGTAGCGATGCCAGGAGCCCCTGGTAGCGTCCTTGCTCCTAGTAAGGTCAGGAGCCCCTAGTAGCTTCTATGTTCCTTGGCTTGTTTTCATCGGAGCATCTTGATTTCCACTTTCCAGGCGCTCGCGCCGACGCAAGGCTGCGCAATGTGAATCTTGATGAATGTGCAGTTTTCGTGGTAGGCGCAGCGCTTTATGAACCCCGAAGTGCCGACTTCGTGGCAGGCGCATAATTTTGTGAGCTTAGGCAGGCGCAGCAAATGTGCACCCATATGTGTGCTCTCCAGACCTCTAGACAGCCAAAAACTCCAAGACCGAGACCTCTGGATCTCTAGACCTCTAGCGCTTTGGACCTCAAGATCGCCGTAGATCTCTAGAAACTTAGAGGCTTTATTATATCTCTGGACCTCAAGACCTCAAGAACTCTAGTTTTTTAGATCTCCAGCTCTAGACATCCAGCTCTAGATGTCTGGATCTCAAGACCTCTAGACCTCTGAATCCTTAGAGTTCCAGACCTCTACGCCTCTGGATCTCTAGACCTCTAGAACTCTGACCTCTAGATCTCTTTGGATGTCTAAGCCTAAGCTTTTAGATCTTTCTAGACCTCTAGATCTCTTTTCCGGATCTCAAGACCTCTCTGGATCTCAAGACCTCTAGACCTCTGGACCCCTAGACTTCTCTAGAACCCAATACGTCTAGATCTCTAGACCTTCTGCTTCTACACCTCTAGACCTAGGACCTCTAGACCTCAAGACTCGAAACACTGTTTGGGGTCTCTTGCCAGATTAATGGGGAACTCTTGTTGGGGTTTCTTCCAGTTTGCCAGCGAGGTTTTACACTCCCAGAGCTTTGCGCCCAGTGGCAATCCGAGCACCCTTCACTCCTGAGCAGCAGCAAGCAACCATAGAGCACTCAATTCCCGCCCAATGGCACTTCAGTGATCACGTTCCATTGGGTGGCATCTTTGAGCTTACCGATTTGGCCAAAGACCATCCTGAGGACGCTGCAATCGTATAGTGGTAGCGACCCATGTTGTGCCAATAGCTCCAAAAAGACTTCGTCTATGCACTCAAAAGTCATCCAATGACTCCATGACTCCACTGTCCTTCACGAAACCCTGAGGTTGGCAAAGGAAAGCGAGGTACTGGCCGAGTGGTGACGGCAAAGGAGCGGAAAGATCTTTGTACAGCTTTCCAGTGCCATGCGACCGTTGCAAAACTGGACACTTTCTAGACGAGCCAGGCTACGGGAGACTAATACGATTCCAATACCAGTATACTATACCTCTGAGCAGCCTCTGCTACTAGTAGCCCCACGTGCATCTACTGACCACATGCAGCTAGGACCTTGGGATCACCAATGCCTACACCATAGAGGCAATTGTTCAGATTTGGATGCTTCAACGGATCATTGATTCGCTTTTGCGATTATTTCTGAAGAGCCCATGTCCATGGTGTCCATTCGCGCCCTGTATCATTGGTACGGCTACAGCATCACTTGTTTACAGTACTGATTTGACACATTATCTATCCTACCAGTCCTACCAGCAAACTTGACTTTTGCAGAGATCCCCAATTGTTTGACGACTGATAGAGTGTCCTTCTTTCGGAAAGCAAGGTGACACCAAGGCTGAGCAATTGATCTTGAGAATATGTGCTGCGTGGGTTGTAGTGAAGGTCTCTATGTGGGGCGCAGTAGATGTTGGACCAGTTGCATCAAAGGCGTGCGCATGTGCACTTGCACCAACAATTGAGGGAAGAACTTCGGAATATTTATTTTTGTTTTGCAGAAGCTACATCCAGTGGACATGAATCTCATGCACATCATGAGCTAGACGTTTCCTTTGCGCTTTGTCCTTGAGTTGACAGTTTCATGTTGCACGTGAGCAGGCGAGCAGTGATGCAGAGATGGAAGAGGCCAATGGACCAATCTAACACTCCTCTTGGTGAGACTTCAAGGGATTTGCACTGATAGAGCTCTTGTACTGTAGCACTCTTGCAGCACTCTTGTAGCTTGTTTGGGTCACTTTATGTATATATGATATAACTATTCTCACCTCATTTTGGTGCCAGGAGGTGACGAGTCTTGGCCAGTTTAGATTGTCAACATGCTCTCAGTAAAACATATGTTTTCTTGTTTTTGCACCAAAAGCATGCAAGGCTATTTCTTGTTTTTGCCTTTAATATCATAGTTCAGGACCGTGATACCTTTTTCTCCGAGCAAGCTGCAAGTCATGGGCGCCAACTTGGCACGTGCTTTGATCGTCCAGCACAGCCTTGGTCCCATGGCCCGGCGCCGCAGAGAAAAGCTGAGAAAGGACAAAGAGAAAAGCAGTTTATGTAATCATCAGACTATAGATTCTGAAACTCGATAATCATCTTATATCACATTGTTTTACACCTTGCCAAACACAAGGTCATAGGTTTGCTTCATTTCTGATCACTTTGCTGGAAGGATCCTGACAGGTTCACCCTGAAGGCCCTGAACAGGTTTATGCTATGACTCAATGATTTGATTCACAAAGTGCCACAAAGTCACAGAGAATGCACGAAACTGCCATCCTTTTCGGGACTTGGTAAATGGTGTGTTCACTCAAAACATCTAACGACGGTGGCATCAACGACGGTGGGGTTTTAAGGTTCAAGCGCGTTTACGCAATTCTCGCGCCTGGGATGGCCTCGCCCTCGACTGGAACAAATGGCGGATGCGGATGCGGATCAATGCGCAAGCATGTGAGCTTCATACTGGTCATTGCGCAAAATATTTCTTGTGCCCAAGGTGGTAAAGGAGGGCCTTGGCCTGCACTGATGTCCGAGAAGGAGATCAACCCAAACCTGGAAGACTCTAAGACCAAGACAGCTTCAGCATGCTTCGGCTACCAGAGTTCTCCTTGCCACTAGCGGCATGCAATAATGCAACTATATGATTAGGAGTTATTCTTTGGTGTGCAGAAGGCGCGCCCGCCAAGCCCAGCACAAACTTTTGGATGCGTCCTTAAGGCACTTCAGACCGAGGAACCCATCCAAATGTGTCAAACGTTCCTGACAAAGCAGGCGACTTGGCCAAATGTTTGAACGATGGGTCTTGCCAAGCAAAGCTGCCAAAGAAAAGCGCCAGCAAAGCATAGCTCTCCTTCACTGTCACAGTCGGAGGAAAACTTGGAGACCATCGAAGTGTGCACTCTGCCGCTTCAGAAGGAGCCAGCTCAGGTTAACATAAGTTATGTATACAAAGAGTCACGGAGCCCTTCTGCTCCTCCATGGTTGCTCCACAACACAAAGATGGACTCCTCCTGCTGTGGTAAAGCACCAGCTAGCTTGAGCTTTGGTGCGTTTCTGTCGCAACAGCCATCATAGTCACTACCGGGGATTGCTCACAGCATGCCCAGCAACCACAAAGATCTGGCCCGCCCACACACCCGAAGATGCTCCTCCATGGTCTGGTGGAGACTATCCTGAATCTTTTGGGCAAAGTGCAATGATCACCAGTGCCAAATCACCAACTCCATGCCATAACGGACGTGAGTGAGGTGAGACATTGCCAACTGGGGCCCTGAGCTTCCCTGAACTAACTACAGGCCATCTCGAGCCCTGAATTAGAGCCTCTACCAAATGTGATTCTGATTGATGGAGAGCCCCATGGCTTCGACTGTTTTGTGCTGATCTGTCACCCGTGAGTGTCGAGGTCCGTTCTTGTGGGCCTTGTGGTTCATAGTGAGGTGGTTGTGGTTCCTTTGGTTCTCGTGTTTCTCACTGCGCGGGGTTGGTGGGTGCTGGGTTTGCGTTGCTCTCACACCTCCTGTGGTTTGCATGGCTCGCATGGTTTTCACCGTTCTTGCGGTTCTTGTTGTTTGTGAGGTTCTTGTGGTCCGCAGTTCGCCGGGTTCGCCCGTTGCGGCTCAGTTGCCGGGCACCTGTAAACAAGTCAATCACCCACATGGCATGTGCGGCCGGAGTGGCAAGCAAGTGTGCTGCAAAACCCTCTTAAACAACATCCCCCAAGTACCTCGGGTGGCTTGCTGTGGTCACATTTGCTTTTCTTGAAGTGAGGATTATGGTGCTAATAGAGCTCTCAGGTATTGGAGCGAATGATGCAACAAATGCTGGCAGCAGATATTCGCATAACCTGCGTCAATTCAATCAGTACATTCAGTGCACTGTTCAGGAGCTGATAGCCGAGGAGTCAGCCAAAGACTCGGTGAAGTCTGTGAGTCTGGCAAGTGTACCGCTACTAGTAACAACTGCTACCAGTAACACGTGCAAATGTGTTACTGGCAGTAATGCACTTGTTACTAGTAGCCATGCACTTGTTACTACACCTTATTTTCTGCATGTTGATCCTTTAGATTATTCAAAGTTTCAGGCTGCGCTTCGGGCCTCCAGCGCATCACCATGCAATTCTGATTCGACCTCCAGTGGGAGTGACAGATCCTGAGTGAAAGCAAGGTTGGAGTGTGACAAAGTCACAAGGTTCTGCTTAGTGCTGCTTAAGATCTCAAATGAACAGACTTCTGATTCTGAGGATGTGGGCTCTGACAATGAAAAAACAAAGGATTTGCCGTGAGAGCCTTGATCGTCCTGATAGCCCTGATCCAATGAAGAGGACAACTCTGAGGAAGGACGCATATGTTGATGCCCCCTCTCAGGTTTGAAGAAGACACATCGGAGACTCTCAAGGACCCAAGACGACTGCAGTGCAGTGACGACTTCTCGATCTCTTTTGTAGCCCTTTTCTTTTTTCCGTCTGATTTCAACCCTGCGTGCAGGATTCCCTCAGACCAAATTTTCAGAGTGAGGCTTGGGTTCTTGGATGTCTGAATGTGCGCCGGCCATATTGTGCGAGATTCGTATGGTGGCTCAGCACCTCACGTCCTTCACAAGACAGATCTGAGAAAGAAAAGATGTAAACAGATGCTTTGTGTTTCAGATGTTTATTTAAGTTTCCCCAGTCAGGGTTCTCTCAAGTTCCTCAACATCAACGTGTCGGACCTTGTCGATGAGCTTGATGTTCCCGATGGTGATGAGTCTGACACAGGATTTGCATGAATGCTGCAGCAAGCATTGAACAGTACTGCATTGCAGCAGAGCGTTCCTACAATATTCAACGCCTGCACGCATCTATCAGCAACTAACAATGTTGTCGGAATATATGGAGCTTGACCGTTTTTGGAGGAGGAAGCGACAGTGATCCCTCAGATGACAATTTAGTGTTGAACTCAGCAAAGATAGGTCAGGAATCGCAACGACATGGGGCTGAGGTTGGCAACCTGTTTTTAGGCGTGTGATGGCCAACTGTTTAGGCTTGTTGAGATGTATCGAGTACAATGGAGTGACATAATCGATATGTAATGGTATGCTATTTGGATGTCGGACGTCCTGCCATCCTATTCAGTTCTATTCTGTGGGTATGAGGAGCTTTCAGAGCTAAGACAAGTGGAGGAAAAGCTTCTGAGCAGGAGAGAAGACAGACGTGGAATACATTACATAGGAAGGATTAATAAGGTATCGGTTTGACAGGCAGTAGTGTTTAGACCCATGTTTTGTTGCAGCAGAGCGAAGCCAATCTGCAGGGCGTCACATTGCTCATGAATCGAGTACACGGAACGCACCAGATGCAATACTTCATGCATTACCACGATGGAAGCTGGTGTGAGGTAGTTTGAATGCACGGGTCTTGTCACTCACTATGAGACCCCAAGAATCTAGCTACGAACCAAATCATTGAGCCTGAACCCTTCGCGTCCTAGGTAGATTAGGTAGTAGCTTCTTAAGCTTAGTCTTAGTGCTTGCCTCTTACTGTAGCCGCTTAAGCTTACTACGGCCTAACCCCACGGCCAGGAAGCCAAATCATCGGAGTTTGTCCAAGCGGAAAGCTTCACGGAGGACAAAGAGGTTGATGCCCAGCCGCAAGAAAAGGACAGAAGGCCAACAAAGAGGAAGTTCGAAAAATATCGGAGATAGATCGGAGGTAAGCAGAGAACTTCACACTTTAATATGCTTTAAGAGCAAGCGCCTTCGGGTTCGTGGTTGGGACACTTTCTCTTGTGCATGAACTGCTATCAAATCCCCAATCTTTTGAATCTGTCTAGTTGCCTCCCAAAAGATACCAAACCCTGTCTCAGAATTGCATTAAATTGAGGTATCAACGTGACAGAAACGTGCATCCTATGTTCGACACTGTATGCATTTCAGCTGTCTCCCTCAACAACGTATATATATATATATTTGTTTTTTTGCCAGGAGAGCTTTTGAGGTACTCCAAATTATTAGGCCTCTCATGTAGGGTTGTTTTTCTATTTTGGGTCATTCATACTCGACTCTATTCAGTGATCGGCTCTTGCTTGTTTCCTTTGCTGTCCATTTTATGTTTTTGCTCGCAGCTTCTGGCTGTCTTTTCTTCCTTGCTTTCTGCAATTGCTTGTTGCTTGTTTACTTTTCTGTCACTGTTTCTGGCGGTTGGTTTGCATTAATTTTCTGGGTCCCCTTGCCTGTGCGGTTCTTACTGCTGTTTTCTTTTCCATGTCATTCTTCAATTTGCACTTTGTCTCTCTTGTCTCTCGACTATTTTGCTTGAGTGCTTTCCCTGCTTATTTTGTGAACATTTTTCAAGGAACAAAGTGCCAAGCAAGAAGGATGTGCAAAGCTCTACGCATGCTGCCCATTTTCCAACTTCGCATGCCCCCTGCAATGTGCCCGTCACAGCTCCTGCGGCCCCGTCGGCCCATTCAGCTGGCGCACGTCAAAGGCTGGATCAGGATAAATGGAGACCGACTCAGACATACTCAAACCATGAAGGTGTTTCCAAAAGAGATCAAGTTAGACACCCACGTTGTGAAACATTGTTCATTTTTGTTCCTTTCAAGCTTTCCTCCCACATAGCCTTCGGAAGCATTGTTGACCAGCATGCCGTGGTGAAGTCTGTTAAGACCCATCAGGGCGAAGAGCTTCGGACGGAAAGAGAATGAAGAAATGAAGGAGAAGGTCGATAAATCTGAGCGGGTGTCACTTCAGGACATCAACTGAGCAGAACTCTTGGAACTTTGAGTTTGTCAGCTTTTCTTCAAAGAAACAAGAGAAATACGGAAGGTAAGGGCCCTCTTTAATAAGGGCTCCTTAAAGGGGCCCTTATTCAACAGGCCCTTACAATCTTTTTTCCCCACATCTTGTGTGGATTTCTTGCTTTGGGTGTTCACACCAACTCAACTAACTCGTCTCACACCAGCTCAACTCTCACCAACTCAAGGGGATGGGAGGTTCTGCCTTGGTTGGCCAGTGCCCGAAAAAAGAACCACAACCACACCTGCAACACACAATATCAAGTGATGACGTCTACATTGTTACGCGTTGAGAGTCTACGTTGCCATGTTTCAAATGCTCTGAAGCACTCAAAGCAAACAGCAATAACAAACATACAGAGTATATGGACTAAATGGATACGTTTGGCGTATGTTGGTATGATAAGCGCGTGCATTTTTGGTGTTTGTGACTATGCTGCTGTATGTCTTCGTTGATTTCTGTCGAGAACTTTCTGCTTTGAGCAAATGCCCTTGGGCGCCACAACCTGACATCCAAAACCACAAGTGAAGTTTGTCAATTCACCTGCATGAATGTGCATGAATGAGCGAACGAGCGAGCGAGCGAGTGAGTGAGTGAGTGTACGTGAGTGACTGTATGTGAGTGAGTGCATATCAGTTGAGGTGATGACTGTGAGCTTCCTCTTAAGCGAGCAAAACGCAGCGTCACCAAGCAGAACCTCCCATCGCCTTAGAAGAGGTCGAGACCTCAACTCTGGTCGGCTGGTCTTCTCCCCTGGCGTTTCCACTACATTTTCCTGTCTCGACCTCTAAGGGATGAGAGGTTCTACTGGTGCGCGTTGGTCCGCTGTGGTCTCCCCTTGAGTTTCTGCCTGTCTCCCTCTGTCGTGGATTACACCATATTCACAGGTGCACCCATATCTACCATTGCATGTGCAAGCTTTGTACGTTTCAATCTTGAAAAGTAGTAAGTATATAATTGCAGAGAAACCCCTGATGAAGAACCAGGGTAAACTGTTTGGACGGCTAACATGTTGTCATGTTGGCTTAAGGAGCACAAAAGGCACTGCCCTTTGCTGTTTCATGGTAGCAGAGCCATTTTTTGGCTCCATGTGCGATAAGGGAAGACTCCCAAGAAACGTGGAACGAGATCGAAGGATAAGCAGTTCGAGGACAAGAAAAGCGTCAGTCTCGATACGGCCATGAGCTGGACGAAGGCTACTGGCAACAGGCGGAAGAAGCAACGAAGATCGTTCTCTGGAATCCTCTTCAGTTGAGGCAAAGAAGGAGACAGTGACCACCTACTCCCACAGGTCTCTTTCAGGCAAGAGGTTTGGGTATTCAATCGACCCTTTGCAGTCTATCAAGGGCAGGAAATCTTGCAAAGCTTGGCTAAACTCACATATTTCCTAGCTGCCTAGCTACTGGCGATGTCAACACTGCCTTGCCAGATGCTCCACAGCTTGCGGCTCACCACAGATTTCGGACACTTGGCAGCGTCGTCGCTGCTCCAATCCCAGCCTTGAGAGCTGGTCGCTCTTGCCTTGCTCTCGTGGGGGTATTCGGTGCAGGCAGAGCCACCTCACTGACCTACGTCCTCATGTGGATTGCCCTAACCACTACTATTGCAAAGATGGTGATCTGTCATAGAGAAAGTCCTGCCGGGCAGGCTATTTCAAACATGGTCGAGAATTTCCCCTAGACGAAGCACAGAAACGATTCTTTGTCCGTCCACATGCCCCCGAAAAAGGAGCAGCGCAACAGAAAGTAGTGAGGAGAAATCGCTGATGAAAAACCAGAGTGGACGGTTTGGACTGCTAACATGTTGGCTCAAGGAATGGAAAAGGCGCGACCTCTTGCTGCTTCACACACCTTGCGTTTCCCTCCATTTGTCAGTGTGGAGCTCTTCTAAGGGGATGGGAGGTTCCGCTCACTTGCCAGCCCACTCATGCACACACTCTTTCACTTTTGCGCTCATCGTCCGTATGCATTTATCTTGTCTCATTCCTCTTGTTTCCGCTCCTTCTTTCCACTCCTCGATCCTAAAGTAACTTCACGTGTTAAAGTTCCTATTCTATCCTTTTTCCCCACCTGTCAGGTGAGGGTTCAACCGCGAGCTCCCGACCCAAGTGTTCCCCACCGGACCTCTGTTCCCTGCCGGACCTCAACCACGACCATCCGCGCGCAGTGTTCCCTGCCAGACCTCAACCGCGAGCTCCAGACCCAAGTTTCCCCACGAGCTCCAGGCCCAAGTGTTCCCTCCCGGACCTCAGCCACAGCACACAACCACTACCACAACCGCAATCACGCAACCGCAAACACACAACCACAAACACATCCACAAACACACAATCACAAAGACACAGCCACAACCACAACTACAACTACAAACGCGCAATCACAACCACTACCAGTACCACAAACACAACCACAAACACAATCACAAACACAATCACAAACACACAGCCTCAAACACAACCGGAAACACATCCACAAACACACAATCACAAACGCACAGCCACAAACACACAATCACAAACACAACCACAACCGCAACACAGCACACAACCACAACCACAGCACACAACCACAACCACAACACACAACCACAGCACACATCCCGCGGACCCACACGCAAAATCGCGAACTACAATACTCACGACCATGGCAACATGATCCTCATTATGGCATCAAGACAAATGATTGAAATGTCATGGCGGGGATCACTCGAAGTAAAGTAATTGATGTTTTTGTGGAATTTTTAGTTCAATTGGTCGCCATTCCAGGATTCTCGAGAAGTGCCCCGTCCGCTTGAAAAGGTGCCGCGGAGAGTTGGTTCCCATTTTGATCATGCTGAGTACGCTGTGCTATCTGTGCTGACCAAGGGAGTGCTTGCCAAGATGCAAGTCACTTGATGACATCAAACCTTGAAACGTTTCTTGAACTTGCGCTTTGAGCGTAGGTTGTGGCTTTCGGAGGAACAACCTACTTGGCCGGTTTTCTCCTCAGGGAAAACCTTCCCAATTGTTGATTTGTTTGAACAAGTATTGTCATACAGAATCGTTTTTGATGATCCTCGTTTGTTGTAACATGTTTTTCTTCTCAAAGTCTTTCGATGTTTTCCTATGTGTTCGATCTTCGTTCCTATTCTGCATAGGCCGCCGCGGTGGGAGCTGCATGCCTCGCCTTCAAGAAAAGGAAACCCGAAGTGATCCTTTGGAATCGGCAGTTTCCTCGAAGGACATCGACCGATCGGATCCGATCGGATCGATCTTGGATCGAAGGAGCTATCACATGCTATCACATTTCTTATTACTTTTTTGCACGTTCTCAGCGGAGAATGCTGAGATGCAAAACTAGTGGTTGTTTTGACACCGCACATTGTTTGCCTTCAACAACTCCCACTGAAGTGGTGCTTTGATAAGCTCTTGGAAACTCTTGCCACTTCATAGACATGTGTGGAGAGACTCCAGAATTTTGCTGCTATTGTGACGATTTCCAGGACCGGCTGGATCGCCTGCATCGACGCAGCATGGGAACAATGGGAACAACGTCCAATCTCACAAATCCCCGGGTTCAACTGGCTGCCGCATGTGTACTGCAGGGCAGACTGGAGACCCAGGCAGGTCTTCGGTGTAGTGGTAGACAACTTCTTATCAATGCAATGACATTCAGATGAACTAGCAAAGGGATGTTGGCAGCTTGCCATGTTTTGACGCGCGAATGCAGCTGTCAGGATTCTCTGAAGAGCGAAAGCTCCTTACAACTTCCATCCCCCCGAGGAGATGTGAATGGTAGCGTGAACAATGTGTGCACTGTGAATCCCCGTGGGCTACGTTTTGAAGGCGAGAGTGAGCGACCCTTTTTACGGAAGTCTCGGCCGAAGACAGCCACAGCACGGAGAGATGGACGCGACCCACGAGATGCACCACGCTCTGAAAGTGAACATGTAAGGCGTTGCAGCGACAGGCCGCAGTGGGATGGACCACGAGTGCAGGTGGACAAGGATGCACCTCCGGATGAAATGGCACTGTCCCCGTCGACTGTGAGATCAAGTGCTTGCCTCAGTCAATGTTGGGGGTACTTGTGGCAATTGATGAGGGCAACAACTGGAGCCCTTTGGACTCTGTTCGTGACAAACGAGACAGTAGCCGCCACGCAACAGACTAGAGATTTATACTTGATCCAAGAGTTTTGCCAAAGTTCGTCTTTTAAACTTTATCAAAACCCTGTCTACCGTTATGTTTAGTGTTTGAATCTGAGGCGGCACACGGACATTTGCCTCCAGGCCACCTGCGATTGGCGACAAGATCGCCATGGCAGCCTTGCGATCTTGGGCAGTCACGGCCACCGCTTTGGCCAAGGCAAATTTAGAACAAGATCGTGAGAGCTCACGCCAATAAAAGCGGGACAGCAAATGAACAGCAAGCTTCAATAGGTAGGCTTCAGGCTGAAATGCTACTGCGGCTTGCAGCTAACGAAAGGGGGTGCATCTTGACTCAAGTGTGGCATTCCTTTGCTTCCTTGCAGTGCTGCTTCATTATGGAATTTTGATATATATATATATATATGTTGATAGTGTATTTGTGCAAGTTTGTTCAATAGCTTGGCTTTGTTGTGTGTCATTTGACCTTGAATTCCTTGACCATTTTCATTGATATCCGCCTGATGCATCGGTGCTTGAGGCAGATGGCATGTTGTGATTCTCACTTAGCCAGTACTTCACCTCCTTCAATCTAGGTTCGAGCTAGGCCAAGCTTGCTCGAAAGCAAAAGCATAATGGCATAGATGCCTCAAAAAGGATCAACGCTTGCCAAACTTGCCGCAATGTGCTTGAGTCAAACAGACATGAGATGACAAGCCATGGCTCTTTCTTTTGTTCAGCTTCTGGCTCAGTTCCAGGCGCATTCAAACAGCTTTGACCTGCACGCACTGGCACAACGAACCGAACACGCACTCTGTTTACACAATGTCTATCCCTTCAGGCTCTGAACATCAGTTGCATGATAGCACTCGGCTGCTGGCGTTGCTATCGCCAGTTCTTGAATCTTTGTCAGATCTCCCTCATGCGCCATGCGCCCTCTCGGAGACAGATTGCAAAGCATTCACCGCAATGGCTCAGAGGTCGTAGATCTCAGACCAGACACAGACGATTTGCAGAGGTTGTTTGTCCTTTCTCCACAATGCAGCAGTTTTCGCAGCATTCAGTGTTTGTCACAAGGTCCGTGGGGATCACCAGATTTTTCTGGAAAGAGCGGCAAGCTCATTGGCAGCTTCGGTTATGGAATCCTCCCAAATGCTGAAATCCGTAGGCGTGGAATAACTCGAACGTCCAACCAGAACCGAAGTGGAGCAAATTGAGACCTCGTCGAACCCAAGTCGTTTCTCAAGATTTCAGATGCAGAGTTGTAGACCTTGGGGAAGGAGACCCTGCCTCGCTTTCCACAGGTTCCCAGTCTAAGCCGTCCAAAGCATATGATGTTGCACGCTCTGGTTTAGGCGCGGAGTTTGAGCGGATGTTCTTATCTTGTTCTTATATGTTCTTATTGATTGTGCATTTTCTTAGACTCTGTCTACGTTGGAACACGCAGCATTTTGTCCCGGTTCTGAAGCTTCACAAGGTGTAGTTGCTCCAGCCCAACTGCAGCTGCCAACTGCCCAGCTTTGGGGTGCAAGACGGGCAGATTTTTTGCTGTTTGGTCTTTGGTCGCTTTTTGGCTAATCTCCCAGGCAACCGCATCAGATATCCCAGGCACCCTATTCTGAGCAGCTAAGCAGCTACCCGAGCGTGTGGAACGGTAGCACCGCATGGCAGGCAGCACCAAAATACCGGGGTTCCGCCAGAGAGTTGTTTGCAGCACGGGCCACAGGTGTGCTTGTGGCTTTGACTTTCCGGATATTTGCACCTGTATTTGGTATATCTATATATAATAATATATATATATATATTTTTTTTTTTTCAACACGTACATATGGTGTTTTATTTGCATGCTATTGATGTTTGCTTTTTCTGGGTCCTGCATCGACTAGGGCTAGAATTGAAGCCTGCGCCCAGGCATTGCAAACGTCCCAGTCCGGCCTTGCAGCATTACCAGTGAAAGGTGCGTTTTGAGGAACAGCTTTTCGGAAGCCGAAGTGAAAACTAACAGGTGAAAGGCAGTCCAGCTCTTCCAGGCATCGGATGTGGCACGTGACATCGGATAGTTTTTCTCTCCTATCCCGCACTGATGAGTTACTGAGGGATGCTCCTAGGAGCAAAGGGCATCGCTGCTAGGCGCAAGGACGCTACTAGGGGCTCCTGGCATCGCTACTAGGAACAAGAAGCTATTAGAAACAATAAATAATTAATAATAATTAGAATTAGAATTTAGATAGACTTTTATATTCTAATATTTGGCCTGCCTTGATGTGGGCTTTCCACGCTTTTGACTCGGCAACGGTCAGGTCTCCATCACCGCGAGCGACATCAGCCGCAGGCCTCTTCGCCGATTCGATGACAAGAGCCATGACAAGTGCTGCAAGCCTTGTTGCTTTTTGTGTGACTAGCAGATCTCATTTGCAAACAAGACTATCGCTGCACTTGGTACCTTTTCAAAGGCAACTCCCAGGTCAGACTTAAAGCTCACAGACTAGCATTCGTCACAGGAAATAGCGCAACTGCAGAGGGCAACTCTCCGCGAATGGTCAGTGTAAAGGCCCAGATGGTCTACACCGCAGCTTTCTTGTGTTTTTCCTTCTTCCATGTTAGTCTTGACAATGATTAATCGAAGATGCATTTTTCTTCCTTTCTCGTGTCTTGGACGACTTGGTCTCAAGATGTCTCAAGGACTTCCAGAGAGGTGCGCCTCTTGTGGCACCTGCACAATTGCTGCTAGAATCTCAGATTGCACAGACTTGCCTCTAGAGCCGTATTGCCGGCGATAGCTTTGTTCCATCATCGATCATGTCGTTCTTGCACCTTCTGGCACTTTCGGAAGCCCTCAGTGCTTGAAGCCTGCCTGAGGCCATTCCCAGGTGATGGGAATTCTCCGGGCAGGTCTGCTCTGAGCAACGTCAGAGATGAAAAGCAATGAACAGAGGGATTTTGGACTTGGAATATCATTGAATCTAATATCTTTGAAGCGTGGCACTTGTTACTACTAGCTTCTTGTTACTACTAGTAAGGCACTTGTTACTACTAGCGATGCACTTGTTACTAGTAGCTTGTTTTTTTGCAGATCTTGGATGGGATGCAACAGAGGCGAAGGCGACTTGCTGAGATGACCGGTGGACGATCGAATATCCTTGATCCAGCGAGGCAGGGCTGACCACCTATCCGCTGCATGACGGACTTTGTGCCTATTTTTATGACTGCTCTTTTCTTGTTATTTTTGGATCTGCATGTAAGTGATCACTTTGCCAGGGGTGTGCCCAGACAGCAGAAGGAGCGAGAAGATCTAGCCGATGGAGTCACCGTGGCGCTGGACAATGTTGGCTTCTTTCACAGCATCACAATTTGTGCTTGCTTGCATATATGCCTTTGCAAACCCAAAAAACCATCCGTACTCAGCAACATTGCAAGCCAGGCCATGATCTTTCCGGTGGACGCCTTAAGTACACAACTGTACCGAGCCAACAACCAACATTTGCTTGACCGCTCAGGTTCAGTGCGAGATTGGCCCATTAAAGACCACACCTGTTGCGGAATGCCGGCGACTTTGGGCACGCTGGAGCACGTTCCAGGGACTGGCAAAGTCCGTTCAAAGGAACACACAAGGAAGGTACTCCACTTGCAAGCTTGGATTTCTGAGGCTCTAGCTTTGACGTCCTCCTGGAGCGTCTGGTTGAGCACCCAGAGGCGCGGCCACAAGCAGCTTGAGACAGCTTGGCACATCACACGACTGGCAAGAGTGTTTGTTTGTCAATGTTGCCAGTCCTGCCTTGCGGATCCCTTGGCTCTCTTTCGGGCACCGGTGTGCGCCCCTGCCCCGTCATGCCCTTATGTGTGTTCGGCAATGGGGCAGTGGTGATAGAGTTGGGACTTGATTGATTGATTCAATTGATTCTGTTATATTTCTGCAATATGCAGAGTGGTCAGAGTTGCTCTTGGGGGTTTGCAGTACACAATGAAGATCAGAAGGCCTTTCTCCTGTATCTTTCTTCAATGCCTCAAGCATGGTTCATTTGTCATGACAAAAACAATACAATATATATATACATAATTATACATACATTGTACGTAATTGTAGTTAACTATAACTTCCAATGCATAAAGTATAATACTCTCATGCTTTCAATGAACGGTAGTGGTGATGGTCTCAGAGTTCAGAGTGGCTGTGTGACCTCGGATTGGCCCAAGGCACATGCCAGGACTGCCTGGACGTTTGCTTGGTGAAAAGAGCTTGCGTGTCGCTGTCGGGCACAGGGTTTGCTCGGTGTAAGATGAACGCACCATCGGATTCAAATCGTGAACAAGGGGACACGGACCACAGCAGCCTCAAGCACAAGCGCGACACAGCCTGTAAACAAAAATGAACAGTCACACTACAGGAGAGTTTGGAACTGACTGCGCGCCCCTCGTTCGTTTTGAAGTTGAGACAACAATTGAGTGCACCAGCGCCACGGAGGAAAAGACATTGGTTCAACACTCGTGACAGAGAGTGAGGGCACTTACTGTAACGTTCACTTTGAAGATGGACCGTTTTCAGCGTCGAACAGTAGTAGACCACTTTGAGAAGCGAGCTGAAACAACATGCACAGAAGCACCGACCTGGCACTGTGATTAGCTTGAATACTTCAACAAGTTTGAGCAGTTCGTGTGCCTGAAATTCCGCTTCGAACTCCCTTGGCCTAGTCCCACTGCCCCAGTTCTTCGTCATCACTGTGCTGGACCCGTCCTGCTCAGTGCTTCGTGATGCTTCGTGATGCTTCGCGATGCTTCGCGATGCTTCGCGATGCTTCGCGATGCTTCGCGATGCTTCGCGATGCTTCGTGATGCTTCGTGATGCTTCGTGATGCTTCGTGATGCTTCGTGATGCTTCGTGATGCTTCGTGGCCAGCAACCCCTTTCAAATCTTCTTCGCGAAAGAAGAAGACGTCGTTTGGTCTTAAACGCCCTTTCCTTTTGGGCCTTTTGGGTGGCGCTTGGGCGGAAGACGCTCGCGTGGAAAGGGCTGGACACTGCCCAATGTCTGCGTCAGCGTTGCTTTTTCGTTGGAAGCCTCAACGGCCTATTATGAATCTTTAAAGGGCAGTCTGAGAGCAATCTTCCAAGAGTCTTCATGGAATTGACTCAGGTCGTGCACACCATTTCTTACTTTGTGCTTGGCCGACTTCGGCTCACTGTTTGCGCAGCAATACTACGTGCCATATAGAGGCCAACGAAAGAGAGAAAAGACATGTGCCGCGGTAGGCAACGTCACTGGAAAGCAGACCGTCGTGGAGGCATTGCTGAAACCAAAGCCAAGCTAGAAAGGACGCTACTAGTAGCTCCTGGCCTTACAACAAGGACACTACTAGGAACAAAGGGCATCGCTACTAGGAGCGATCAGACGCTACTAGTGGCTCTCATCGTGACTCCTCCGTGCTGGAGCAGCTCAACACATCAAAGCGAAGAGCGTCCAGCTACGTTGAAACATCGCATGTCCGCGCATTTGCGAATTCCAGTTTCCTGTTAGTTCACTAGCCCTAGCAAAAACCGGAAGGAATGGTGGGTGATTTGATGTGACAAAAGCAATAAACAACATTAAACAACATGTAAAGGGATTGCCTCTTTCAGAAAACCCCATCTAAAGAGATCTGATTTAAAGAGGCCCTTTATAATAGTATAATATGGTATATAATAGTCTATATATTACATCCATTTTATCTTGTTTTTTTGTTCAATCATACTGACTATTAAACACCTCACTGATATGTCCGAAGCTGAAATGAGCCGGCTTATCTTCC